GGCCTCACATCAGGACATGGTACAGTGGTTAGCATATTGGCCTCACATCAGGACATGGTACAGTGGTTAGCATATTCACCTCACATCAGGACATGGTACAGTGGTTAGCGTATTCTCCTCACATCAGGACATATTACAGTGGTTAGCGTATTCGCCTCACATAAAAACAAAACATGTTTGGGATAATGGTCTTGAATTGATGAGGACTTAAAGTTGTCTGTTCCATGAGCTGTTCCCGTATTCAGTGTACATAAAAAAACACAGTATACTCCTCAACATGAGTAACAGATTTTCTGTGGGATTACCAAGCCAACCAATGGGGCTAGCTTACTTTGGTCTTCCAAATAAAGAAATGAAACATAAAAATAGAACACGATGAATTACTTTACACTCTGAGATCATTCATAAAGCTTTGTTTTACCAGGCACCTGGATGCCAAATATTTTATGGTCTGAATTTTGCTGGAAATATTTACTCTACATTTAACAACATTCAGCTGGTTTCCCACAAATCTCATAATTTGTATTCACAAGACAAAGATTACCTTTTGTTTTCAAACAAATTCTGACAGTTAATTAGAGCAAAGGAGAATCAGCCATTTATACAATTAAATATTTCATATATAAGCTTTATGAACATTCTCAGAGTCTTAAGATAATTAATGTTTGCATACCTTGTGGTGGTGGAGGTGTGGTGTCTACTGTAACTTCCATTGGTTCAACTATAGGTTTAACAATGTCTACAATATTTATACGTGGTTTGACACCTGTGAACATTTAACAATACATTTCAGACAATTTTAGATAAGCAATCAGCATGCATGTAATTTGGATCAACAAATCAAAATACAATTTGTGTCGAGCAAGAAAAATTGCTTTTTAAAGCTGTGTAATCAAGTCTGAAAATTACAGCATTCATGCGCTTTTGGTGCAAACACAACAAACATAGGAAGTACATACCGTATTTGTCTGACTAATTGCCTAGGGTACTGAGGAAATCCTGTCTTTTAAGGGTGGGTAATACCTTCCTCGAAAAATTATCTGAATGACAATTTTCAATTGTACACTAACTCTCCAAAGCAAAGAAATTTTAGCCATAATGTTTTTTAGCACGATTTTTCCTGAAGGTTAAGTCTGTTATTAATAAGAATCAGAATACTGTATTGTACTGATATTTTCTAAGAATTTCTGAAAATCAAAGACATTTTTATAAATTGCACTACGAATATAAATTACTAATGTTTGAATATAATCTGTTGGCACTGATTTCTAGAAAAAAAATAGTGAGTTTTTTTTTTTTAAAAATGGTGATAATACTGATTCAAAATTTTTGAAGGGTAAACCAAGCGTGGAAGAAGTGTGTGACACCTTTCATGGCCGTCAACAGTTGAATTATATGTAGTTTACCCATTCACACTGCATTCACGTTAAAAACATTGGACACTGTAATCAGTCAGAAAAATAAGAAGATGACTGGGTTTGATGTCTATGGGGTTTAATTTCAGCAGTGACTTGAGAGCAAAAACAAAAGTACAGAAAAAAAATCAAGTATGTCTGCTCATTAGTACTGTAATGTTCAATGCAGGCTTGTATACAGTGTTACCATGAGTGAAAAAGAGGGTTGGATTGTGGATGGTAATAACATTTATTTTTCAGAAGGGCAAACACAGAAATTCAAAATAAAGAATAAATAAAAGTTTACTGCACCTACAGTACCTTGTGTTGATATAACTTGACAACTAAACTGTACAGATCCTTCAGCAGTGACACCCTGATCTAACAAACTCTTAGTAGAGTCCAACTGAAATAAAAAAGAGTTAACTTTGTACAACTGACATTCAGTCAAATCATGGTTGAATCATTATGTCTTTGTTCAACCAGAATTACATTGTAATTAAATTATAAAACAAGCATTGACAATATTCAGTCTCAATTTTGTATTTAATGCCAAATTCCATCACCAGTAGCGTGGGTATATACATCAATGATGCTACTCAAAGTCCTATTGATCTGCAATAAATGATTCATTCACCGACTGCCATTTTAAGGATGACAATTGATTTGACAAATAACATCAGCTATGGTATTACCTATGAGTATAGTATGTGCAAACTTAAATCAGGCAATACATTAGAGAGGAATCAGCATGGACGTAACAAAAACAAAATTGTCACGAGTTGGCAATTTTTTTGGCTTTCAACCAGAGTTGAACAATTTGAACGCTGGCAACATTCCTTCCAATTTTAGCATTTTGTATTCAAATACAATTGTTTTTGAGAAGAAATCACACTATAATTTTAGTTTGAGGTATTTGCTATTATGACTCAACCCATGTAGTATTTCACATTTAATATAGTGATGTAATAGTATTACCGTACACTTACCAGTGCTGTATTCTGTAAGTACACTTCATGTTCTTCTAGATTGCACTGTAATCTGATTTCTAACAACTTCTTGAGTGTACTCAGTGGTTCAGCAATATCCATCATCTGAGTTATTATATTTGGTGATTGCAGTGTGACTGTCACAACATCCCCACCACTGTAACAAATCAATCACAATACAGATTGTAACAAGCCATGCATTGCACAGTCCCTGTTAGTTATCAAATTTAAGATATATAGTTTTGTTTATAGTAAGTTTTTGTTTATATAAGTAACATGTCAGCGATTTTGATTCAGAAGATGATGCTTATGATTTTTTAACATTAAAATGATTGACATTTTTGCTTGTGAAAGTACGGTCGCAGGATACACCGCATCACCCGCGAAAATAACTTCCATACGCAACGAAAGCCACAGGGAGGGTGTGGAGTTGTCATATTATTATATGAATGTGACAGTATAACCAGGGCTAAAAAACAGATGAATCTTTCAACATGAACTATAGACCCTAGATTAATATCTCTAAAAGACTCTCAGATCTATTTATGAATGTGACTAGATCTTTTATGGTGACTAGAGCTGGTTGTTACATCCCTTGTCTCTTCCGGCTCCAGTTAATATAGGAATTTAAATTAGATCATTTCAGTTTTCATCAGGATTCAAATTTCAGTTTTCATGTGTTGCTATGGCAAGTTAGGGGAATAAACAAAATGAGAATACATTTTTTTAATGCTACTACATGGTCTGTCGCAAAACCTTGGTGAATCCACAGTACTGTAAAAATTATCCATGGTGAACATGAAATTATGGGTCAAGTGATCGGTTCACTGCACATTACAATTTCAATTGCTGTGGATGCTTTTACACTGTATCACTGAAGTGTTTTTGCATTGTGCTGAAACATGCATTCATTTGCCTAATTTTTTCCATGAACTTTGAAAAATATCCCACAGACAAAAAATAAGTAGTGAGTGATGAAGCAGTCCTACATTTCCTATATAAATACTTGACAGAAACATCTCTTTGAATGTTATTTATACTAGTGGCAAATGAACTACCAGATTCAGAGTTGTAATGTCCTGTATTAACCAGGGACTACACGAACCAGGGCCCAGGGTCACAACATCTAGAAATCTTGATGGGGTTTGAACAAAAAACAAATACCAGTTAATCGTAACATTGTCACTCAAGGAGTGTTGAGACACCACAACTATGTAGTGGAATATACATTGACATAGCACAGGGTTAGCATGGAAAACACAACATGGAAATTCTCCCTCTCACAGTTAATGGTACCTGGTAGTTAACGTTGCTTCTTCGATTTTGGGTTTTTTGTTATCCTCCTCCAGAAGAGGATCACTTGCTCTCTTCATCCTGTATGACCAAAAAAGATCATGATTAGTTGAAATTTGATCATCAACCACTATTTCAATAGCCCCGATATGACGGTACTATTACTGTCATATGTTCATCAATGGGATTATGTTAGCTTTAACTCTATGTTGTAGGCCTAAGCATATTTTTTAAAATATCTGCATAGAATCAGAAAAGTGCTTTTTGTTTTTAGTTTGGCATCTCGGTTCTCTCGCAGTGACTTCTTATGGTTCACACATTATCGAACACCAAATAACGTAAATCAGATATACACGAGTACATTGGCAGGTATAAGCTGCATAAACTGACGAACACCTAAAAGCATCTAGGAAATCAGAAATATGTGTTCCAGCGCAAAAAAGGGTTAGTGTAATGTTATAATCAACAACAACACATGTAAACTACGTAGTTTTATTCTGTCTGCTGTGGTTTGAGAAGACGCGAAATCTGCCATATGAACGATTTATAATGAATTGCCCTTATCCATTATTTTTAAACAATCCTTGTTCACTAAACATGGCCAGAACAAACATAAAATGTACTTACCTGCTTACTATTGTGAAATCTTCGATGTATTTGGGAAAAAAAGAAGAAATTTCGAGCGGAAAGAGATCAAAACAGGAAACAGTATGGACGCCAGGAAATAGCTGTAATCACGTGACCGGATAATGGGGGTTTGGGAGAATTGACGAGTCGATCAGAGCGCTTGTACTCAATACTTTACTTGTTGAGCAAAGCATGGCGGTTTGTAGTTGGTTTGGGCACAGCATGGGCACAGTCACTCTAGTAGAGTGACTATGGTTTGGGCATAAACCCTACAATTTGGAGTTTTGTTTTTTGTTTTTACTTTGTTTTGCAAGAATATGTTCATATACCAATCTATCAAAGAAATGCTGACACAAATTTGAGTCTTTTAGTCATTGCATTTATTAAAACCAGTTTTGTTTTTCATAAATGTTGCATAAAACTGTTCACAAATGTAAGTACTATATGCTTCAAAGTTTATTTTGGGTATGTTTTTATTAAACATATTATGAAAAACTTCCTAGATAACCTAAGTTATTGTTTTATTGTGGTCCTACTAAAGATGAATACAGGTAACTTATTACAATTCAATATAGAAATGCAATTTAATTAAAATTCAATTAATCTCAATTAATTTTCAATTAAAGTTGCAATTTAATTACTATATAAATACACTCAATTAAATTATAATACTATATAGGTGTGAAATTTAATTACATTTTCAAATAAACTGTATCTAGTTAAAATAACCTAAACTCGATGAAAATTGACTTTAAATAAAGTCTTGATATTAGCATTAGGGTCAAAGGACAGGTATACAGTTGATATCAATCTAAACCCTCATCCACAGACACATATTTCTTTAAATTGACTTCAATATCATTTCATTTGCCTACATTTCTAATCTTTTTATTAGCTCTATGATTATTAAAAAAGTGTGAGTTTTGTGAATGTAAAAACATAGCCCCGCCCGAGGATATCAAAATTAGAGTGAGAACAGCAGGCAATGTGTGAAATAGAACCACTGTGGGATTGATCATTAGAGAAAATACTACAAGAGAATAAATCAATTTTAATATAAAAAAAATCCCAGGAAAAACAATACACTCTTAACGAATGCAACCCAAATCTAAGCGAAGGAAATGATCTATGTTCAGTTGTTCTACCATTCTATTCCTACCCCCTGAGTATCTATCCTCTAATTACAATCCCTGTGATAGATAGATAGACTGTGCTCAATCTGATTATAATCCAATGTAGGTATGAGGCCCCATTTCTTTTTCTTTTTTATATATAACCCTTTATATTATATTTATTTGTAATTTAGTTCGAATATGTAGTTTTTTTGGTTTTTCTTGCAGAGGCGACTGAGACACGATTTTCTAAGAACTGATTAACGGCAAGAAAAAACAAAAAATCGATATATTCAAACTAAAATACAAATAAATATAATATAAAGGGTTATATTATATAAAAAAAAAAATAATAAAAAAAAAAAATTGGAGCCTTATACCTACATTGGATTTTAATAAGATTGGACTGTGCTTTAATCCTAATTTACTGAAGTACATGATGTGCATTGTTAAAGGGCGGCCGTCGTCGCGCCGTGTCCTGTTCGATATGGGACTCATAGCGACGTATACAACGCGTGTAAAATACATTGTTTATTTACATGAAATAAGAATACGTGCTGCGCGACGACCACCGCGCTTTGACAGCAATTAAACCTCCATTCCCACGATCAATCTTACAATTCTGAGGTACAGGTAATACTAATATTCTATTGCATCTTTATGCCATTTCATTTCGCGTTGTGAAGCACCTGTTTACAAAACTTTTTATCATTGGCTTATCTCTATTTAGCAGGGAATTCAAGATCTGTCAGGATTTTTTGTTGGTCTAAATGTGTAATACATCTTCATTGTCATTTGGCGAGCATTGTTTACAAATTCTGTTTTCTAAGAATATCTTTGGCTGGGTATGCCTTCCTTTTTCAATTGCTAAATTGTGGTTACTTGTTCAAAATTAAGACATAATACTTCTTTGTAAGATTCAAAACTATAGTTGTTTTTCAACTTTGAATTTTCTTTCTTAGTATTTTGTACCCAGGAATTTATGTAGTTTTTTGTTAATGTTTTATAAATAGCTTCAGAATATCTGAATTTGTTGAAGCTAAAACATCTTTTTTTTTGTAGATTTACTTTTTTCAGTAAATTTTGCACGAATAGAATCCACAATAAATTTCAGTGCTTTTGTTCATGAAATGCTTGATTCACCAGACTGTGTCTAATTTTAACCTCAAATGGACATTTACTAATTATATTATTTTGGATTAGGCCGAAACAAACAAATTTTGTTGCCCTCAGCGACCAACCGAAAAATATGAAATATTGGGTCAAGTTTTTTTTTTTTTTTAATAGGCCCCAATATCAAAAACTCACCATTTTAAGCAGTAAAAATTAACGATCCAAGACCGCTGTTTTATCCCCAGGGTCCCCGGGGGATAATTGGCAACTTAGAACCTCAGGTTGATCTGTATTTCTCTGACATGTTCCGAATACTATGAAGTCCATATACCTAGGCTATTTACGATACTCTTAGTTTTTTTTTGGCCTTATCGTTGGTTTTTCACCTTGTGCTTGCATTTTTAACAATTTTGTTGAAATCTTCTAGGGCCTCATTAATTCCTTTGTTATATTCATTATGATTGTTTATAAATATTTTCATATGATGCCTGCAAAGGATTTATGATTATATGTACAACCGGATTATGCGAGTAAGGGTTTAGTAGTGTAAGTAGTAGTAAGTTAGAAAACAAGGTAACCACTCCTCACTGGCAATAACTCGTAATCTAAGCCTTCTTTCTCTAGTTGACAACCCATATCTCTAAAATTCAGGGTTTGACAGTGACAGTGGTCACTCCATGAGCTGTTTACTGGAATACATAAGCATGCATCACTAAAACTGGCACAGCCATGAAAACAATATCAATGAGAAGAGTAGTACAAGATTTTGTTTTGTGTTTTATTTCAGAAGACTTAAAAAGTTGAACAATAATGGAGCAAAAAACGTACATGAAAAACTAGAATACTGTCATTGAAAGTAAATATACTTAAATATACTTATATATGGCAGTCTGTTTTAATGTCATCACAGGTGATTGGTGGAATTTGCATACATTACTAACAGTACTACATAATTACCGTAATAAATCCAAACAAAACATGTTTAGTACTAATTAAAATAAAATTCATGACAATTTTCAACTGATATGATATAATAATATCTTAGAAGAAAGTCTTGTCTTTATAAGTAATGTTATTGCATCACTGTTTGAACGTCTGTGAAGAATACAGTTACTGACATGACAAGAGTTGAAATTAACTCAAGAAAATTAAAACTTGCCCCTTCGTCCAAGCATGTTCAATTAAATCCCATAAGACTCTCTGAATTGATATTTAGTTTTCTCAAAACTCAAAGTGAGAAAGAGTCATGTGAGGTTGATATATGTGCTAAGAAATTAAACAATTTTACAATTTTTCATCTGAAAAATAAACATTTAAATGGTTGTACCAGTAAACAGAAAAATGACTACTGTGAAATACTTTATTTTAGCTGGAATTAATTTTCGCTGAAAAGGCATTTTGGGTGTTTTGTATGGAATTTATTTTCATTGATTTTTGACGAGTTGAATGTGAAATATAGGGAAAAAAGTATATTCGCTGGATTTTATTTTCACGGAATCATCCTTTCAGCGAAAATAGCGAAAATAAATTCCAGGCGAAAAT